TGTGGAGCGGCTAGGCCCGTGAGCCACAACTACTGAGCCTGCACGTCTGGAGCCTGTGCTCCACAACCGGAAAGGCCCTGACAGTGAGTGGCCCGCACACCGTGATGAAGAGTGGCCCCCACTCGCCGCAACTGGAGAAAGCCCTCGCACAGAAACGAAGACCCAACACAGCCAAAAATGAATATAAAATAAATTAATTAATTAAAAAAATTAACATACAAAGAAGAACGTAGCAGCAGCAGCAAAAGCCCACTGCCCAGAATAAGCGGTGCTGTGGCTGGATGGTCGTGATAAGACATTTTTTCCATGTGTAGGTGCAGAGGAAATACCAGAAAGAAGTGTCAGATCATGTCCCCTAAAAGCAAACCTGACCCGTGCCGTGGGGGGGTCACCCTCCCATGCCCGCCCCTTCTGCGGGATGAGGCAGCCCCTACCTGCCAGCTGTAAGCAGTGGCGGGGGGGGGGGTCGCAGCCCCAGGAAATGCCCAGGACGTGCCAGGCTCACAGGCTGGAGGCGGAGGACAGATGAGCAGGCGCTAATGGGAGGGCCTATCACCCCCCACACGCAAGGAAATCCTAGCTTGCCCTTGAACTTGACAGAGGATGGGAAAACGAAGTCAAACCAAAGATGGTGCTACCTGAAAGCTCGTTTATCTTCAGGGCACGAGCTACAATCTCCTGGAAGAACCCTGCAATACGGAGGAAGAAAAGTCTGCATGGACCCTTCCGCATCTGGAGGTGGACGCGCCTCTGCCCCGGGCTTCCATCCCGCCCACGTTGGCCACATCTGCTTAGAAAGAGGGCCATGTTCCTTTCCTCTTCCTCTGGCCTCCCCTCTCCCTTCTCTGCATTTTCAGGGCTTGTATTATTTTACATTATCGGGGTTTATCATATTCATATCCACTCCTGCCACCCAAGTCCCCTCGTGTTTTGGTCCTTGTTCTGGGTCCAGTGCCCACCCCCGTGCCCCCAGCAGCCCTTCCTGAGTCCTTTGCTCCCGTTCACTGCTTTGGGGTGGCTGAAGTCGGTGTGCAAGGGGGCGCCACGGCCCCCGATGCGGCCACACCCCTCTGCTGACCAGGTGAGGCTCCTGTCTTTCTTCTCACCCTCCGGTTCTCCCACCTGGGAGTCTATGAAGCCCCCAGAGCAATGGCTCCAGGTAGAAGTGGGCTTGGGGCTTGGTTTAAGCATCAGTGACCTCTTGTCCTTTCATGCCAGCCCTGAGCCCCTTCAGCCGGTACAGCAGGTCCCGGTCACCCCAGCCTCTCTACTGCTGTCCTCAGGAACTCAGGCGAGAGCTCAGAAGGAGCTGAGTTCCTGCTGAGACTCCTCAGGACGCCACCAAATCTATGTGCTTCGTTCTCCTTTAAGACGGGCCTCCTTCCTCTGTCACCCTCATTAGAATGTGACAGAGAAGTTGCCAAGGCAACGGCACTAACTCTCCCCTCTCCTCCCTGCAAATTTCCTAGCAAGTGGGGCCCAACCCACGTGAGTTGAGTCGTCCGGGCCTCCAGTGCTCAGAGCCGGCGGGCTACGTGCTGCCCCTTCCTCCAGGCGCTGTGCCCAGCCCCCATCGCCCAGGCCTCCACCCTCCCTTCTCAGCCTCCCTGGGTACCCACTGTCCTTGTTGAACTGAATGGCAGGGGTTGACTGAGACCCACTATGTGACAGGCCTGGCCAGACAGAAGCCGTCTCCGGGCTGCGGGCACCGGCCTGGCGACGGCCATGGGCTCAGACCCAGGGCCCCAGCTGCCTCCCCTCAACAGCGTGCGAGCTGGTGCAGCCGGGCGGAGGCTTCTAACCTTGGGAAGTCGTCTGGGGAGGAAAGGTGGCCGCTTCCGGGTGCAATGCACTGTCACGGTGGAAGTGGCGAGCAGGGCAGCTGAGACCATGGCGCTGGTACCTTTCTCATCCCTGCTGTGTGCCCGGCCTGTGCTGAGGGCTTACAGGTCTTCCCTCACGACCCCCCAGGCCTGGTGGGAGGTGATGTTCACTTTGCAAGTATTCCTCCAGGAGCCAGTGGCACCGAGACCCCCCTCCCTTGGTTGCAGCCCCCGAAAGCCTCCCCTGCAGCCTGCCCTCCTACCTGTCCAGCTGGGCTCCCAGGAACCATCCTTGGAGCCACTCTCGGGCTTCAGCCCCATGGCCTTCCCCAGCCTCCCTGCCCCCAGATGACTCCTGTGACAGCTCCGGCTCCAACAGTCCCTGTGAACTAATGACTTCCCCACAAGGGCGCCCTGTGCTCCCAGGAGTCCGGCCTCGGCCCCTCCCCAGCTCCGACTCCCCAGCTGCTCTTACACACGTGGTCCCCTCCCCACACACACGGCACTGAGCACATCGGGG